ACAGAAAGCAACTATTTCCGCTGTTTCGACACTGAAATCCTTCATGCCGATGAGAATGAGGTGGTCCGCACCATTTCGCCTTCGACGAAGCAACGCGATCCGACGCCACAATCAAAAAACTTCAGCACAGCACCAAGCAAAACCCCCGCGTTGACCCCTGGGGTTCTTTAACGTGCACCCAAGTCTAAGAACACGGGCCTACAACATTTCCGCCTCCATCGGAAATTCAGTCACCGCAGCTATTCTGCGTTTGTTGTGTGTACGTGTTTGCCTCTATCTTAATCTATGTGTCATCAATTCTGCTGTCATTTAATACTTAATAAGTATGTCGACTCTGGGTGAATGCACTCGTCCACTTTTATTTTTTTTACCACCTGAATTAACTCCCAGAAGTCACCTCAAAAACCTTGTGATGCAGTAAAAATGTACTCTCTCTATATTCTCTCAAAACCTCAGTGGAGTAAATAATTACTGCCCTTCCTACGTTCATAAACTGAATTAGCACGAGAGTAAATTTTTACTTCGACTGGTAAGTAGTTAAAAAAATAGAAAAGGTAGTGCGCTTGAGTACAAGTAGTTTACCCAGTTTTTGAGGTTATTTCAGCTTATTTTTGTTTAGTGTAGCTTCAGCGATCATCCACCTCTCACACACCAATGTTTTCACAGACTCTAGCGCCACCATTTGGACTTCCGGAACCTGCAACATCGCTCCAGAAGCAGCCCACATTTTACCAACATGCAAATACACGGGCTTGCACTACCTCTCTTGGTTCCCTGCCCACATGGGCAAAGACGTCCACCCACAGCTACCAAATCTCAACTAAATGGCTCGTGATCAAGCGCGAGAACTGACCCGCCGCGACAATCAATCAGCCACTGAAGATCCGGGGCCCAGTCGTACAGTTTAGTGACCTTTTATTCACCTCCCACGAAATTACCTCTCACTACTGAAACGACAGAAGCCAATACTCTTTACGACATGCAAAGCTCGAACGAGCGCAAGAGGTAGCTTTTCACATGCTATACAAACGAGATCGTATCCATCACGGGGCCGACTCAGCCGTTACAACTCGGAAATAAATCCACAATAGCCAGACTACGCAAAAGTGTCCCGTTCACTCGCACAAGTGCTCTGGCAATGCCCCGCGTCACCTCAGAGACCTCTGACCAGTGAGTCCGACTGAGAAGAGGCACTCAAGAGCCCCAAGTTGCAAAACCAACTAAAAGCAGTCCAGAGGGCCCGAGAAATGGCGAAACGCCACCACGTTCCCACCCCGACTCGGGCGTCGCCTGCAGTAGCGGCTGCTATAGGATGTCTCTTGTGTACACCCTGGTGGCTTAAACTCCTCAGAACATTTTAATAAAGTAATAAAGTTCTTGACTGACTGAAGAATGGTACTCACATTTCTAAGCGCTAATCCATGCTGGGCCGATGCTTGATTGCAAGCTACCCCAAAGAACATTAGCCTTAAAAGGCTAATCTAAATTAACACACAGCAACATACATCAATTACTGACAAAAATAAAAGCAAGCGGCTTGACTTTGATCAACAAGCAGTAATCTTTTTTGCCCTATATATTATTGACCCAGATTCACAGCTGTAAGTTCTTAATACCATTATGAATTATTTATTTATTCATTTCCCAGTTCATTGGTTGGTTAGTTAGTTCGTTCGCTGGTTAGTTAATTAGACCAAACAGTGAGTAGTTATCAAGCAAATGAGGGAAATCTGATGCATTTAAGTAAGACGAATTTCTCACAGCCAGAAGTATGTGTGGCAGGAGGGAGTATTTTAATGCACCTTAACATTTTACGAACTATAATCTAACCACTGTCGTTGTAGTTCATGGTTGGTAAAGTATGGTATAAAACTTAGGAGGATTCAAACAAACAATTCATTTTGAAACTTTTGATGGTAAAAGAACTGGACCGACTCTATATAAGCATAACAGGGTGGCACATTCCTCAGCAATGTTTATATTAGCCCAAGGTGTGTATTCAGATACAATCACGTGTCCAGAATCAGCAGTAGGAAGCATATACTTCGCTACATGAAGTGAGTAGATGTAGGTAGCTCAGAAAAATACGCGAATACAAATAAACGTGACATCAAATCACCTAGCATGTATTTACGCAACCTCTCATTTCTCGAAAAGATGACTGCAGTATTGGACGCAGTAGATTACTGTTAATTAGTTTTGCGGAATCCGGCAAGGTGGCGGGAGGTTTATGAAAGGAATAATTGGCACGGCTGATTGTCATCACTTTCATAAGAGAGTAGGCTGCCGCTAGTTCATATGGAACTTCTCTCTTACCCAGCGTACCATATTTGTCTTCAGAAATGCATGTATCGCTATTTAAGTTCCCAATTGAGTGCTCAATCATTTGAGCTACCGCTATTTGAGATATGCAACTCTCAAATGGCAATGTCTCTCACAACAGATAACGTGATCGCTCCTTCTGATTTACTATCAGCCTTGGCAGTTAGCAACTTTGGCAGTTCCACAGCGGTAGGTTGGCACAAAGCCAGCGTCGATGCCGTCGTCGGCATTCGGATGGCCTGAACCTACAACTCCCGAGTCATCACCAGGTACAAAGCCAACGGCACCACCACCCGCGTTCGATACAATTGTGGGGACCTGCACTGGCACGATCTGGGGGTGCACGTGCACAACTACAGGTATGTTGATTACTGGGGCTACAGGGGGTCGCCATGTCGTAGGATAGACAGCGTAGTACACCCACGGGTACGGGATTGTATAAACCCTGCGAACTCCCACGGCTACGGGGTAGTAGGGCACTCCAGCCACTGCGATGAGACTCTGGGATTTCTTCGAGTAATGAGCCACTCCTCTTGATTCACCCTCTGCACCACGTGCCACCGACACATTCAAAGCAGGTGATGATAACTGTCTTTGCGACGTTGTTTCTACTTTCGTCTGCTCAGACGGCGTGACATGAGGGTTGCTCGAGGACTTGGCGATCATCTGCTGGCTTTTCCGGGATGATCCTCTGCTTGAGCCTCGACTGTCGCCATAATAAGGCACATTCTTTTTGCCAGTAGCACGACCACCCGAAGCTTCGCGGGCCGGAAGATGCATTGTACTGGTACCTGGAAAATGAAGGAAGCAAAAAAATAAACAAGGTTTTCCGAACAATGAGAGCTCACTCCTACACATGTTCATCTTCTTATCGTTTTCTTTTTAATAGCGAACGGGAAAGCCCTGAATATTGTATTATTGCAGAGTTCAGATAAAATAGTGAAGCCAAGTATTTAACTGCAGTTAGGTTCCCATTAAGCAAGTGTACCTGTATATAATACTAGAATAAGTCTTTTGATTAAGTATGGCTGCCACTGCAATCTTCCGCAGCCCGTAAAAATATGCAAATATGGAGGTGTTTTATTACAAGTGCAAGTTCGAAATTATTATCCTGCCCTTATTCACAAGTATTGAGAACAAGAGCTTGTTGCCCGAGACTTAGCTGCACTCTTTCTCGAAGTTAAGTATGAGTAACTCAAGGTTCTTGCTTCACAATGCGTTTTGTAGAACGTGGTGACTTACCCGGAGATAACGACAGAGAATTCACGATGACAAGAAAGAGAGGGTTGGCGATCAGTAACAAAATTATGCGGCTATGTACCGGGCTCATGATGCTAGTTTGCCGCAGAAGTGTCCGAAATAAAGCGAGATCAGACGCTTAAGAGCAGCGAGCAACGCAGGACACCACGTAGAAAGTGAAACCAAGTGTCGCGATACAGAAAAAAAAGGAGTGCCAAATCGTACTATGCTATGAGCAAAATAAATTAGAACATATCATTTCCTGAACAAGCACTGCAAGTGACTGATCACTCTCGAATTGCGTGCATAGTAAGGTCGGAAAATAGTGCCCAGCTGAGCGTATAAAATTGCGTGCCCTAAAAAAAGAACGTTTTGACGAATGATAGCGACCAAAACCTGGAAAGTCCCAACCACCTACGTGGGCTCATATGGATACTGATACTGTCCAGTTCGCATAGGTGACGTATGCAAAATTAGATGCATGCTCTTCACTTATTATTTTACAGGGCTAAATGAGCGAAAACGTCTATGCCAAAACTCAACGGTACCTGATGAAGCAGGGCACAAAATGCATGTTCACGCACACAAAAAGAAGACAAACACACATTTACTAGACTGCAAATATCCGTCTTAGGCAGGCTAACAAGCGCATGCGCTATAATAGCACTAATTAATAAATAATAGCCGCCGAAATTGACAAAATATGATATTTGGGTAATCTTCTACTAAAGACGTCATGAACTTTGAGATATCAGCGCACTTCTACCGAATGACAGCGAGGGCCAAATGATACATTTAAGCTTCTATTTTTCGACGTTTTATTACTTCGAAGATTTCCCTTTCTTCTTTTTCGCGCTCCATGCTCATGACCTCGTTCTTTTTAGGGTGTGTATGTAATCCTTGCAATGAAATTCTGAATGACAGGATTTAAAAACAAATACAAGATCGGGCATCCCTACCTTCAACTGTAATCGCACATTCAGTGAAATGTTATCGAAAATGTGACTTTTGTCTAACGTTTTTTGTTTTATTTACTCTCTATACTGTTATCATTTGTCACATTTGATATCATTCATCTATCGTCACTGTAAAATGTGACTTTTGTCTAACGTTTTTTGTTTTATTTACTCTCTATACTGTTATCATTTGTCACATTTGATATCATTCATCTATCGTCACTGTTATATTCGTCACATAATGTAGTAGCCAACGTATGACGCGCCGTACTGACGTCACAGGCTACGTCATGTGCCTGTACTTATATTGGCATGCGAGCTGCTTGCTTAGCACATTAAACCTTCGCCACCAACTGAGTCCAGCGTCGCCTTGCTCGCCGGCTACAACAGATGGCGATGAGGATGGGATAGGCTGCACCGAACGACGGGGGCGGATCCTGTGAGCAATGACAGCTGGAAGGCGAAAGGCAAGGTATGGCGAAGATGTGGGAATTCGACGCCTTCATAGAAGAAGGAGACGAAGATTTCGCATCGTATGTAAAACGGTTTGGGCACTATTGCAAAGTAGCCGGCGTACAAGACGAAGAACTTAAAAAGTCAGCCTTGATCTATGCCATAGGAAAGAAAGCGTACAAGACGCTCAAGGACCTTCTTCTACCTGCAAAACCTGAAGAGAAGGCGTTCGAGGACTTGGTGAAAGTGCTGAGTGGCCACTACGAGCCTTCAAGTCAAGTCATTGCGGAGCGTTTCAAATTCAACAACAGGAGGTACCAAGGAGAAGGGGAGTCCGTCGCGGCATTTGCAGTCACGCTGAAGCACATGGCAGCCAAGTGCAACTACGGTACGTTTCTCGACGACCCTTTACGGGACCGGTTCGTCGCTGGGTTACGGAATTCCACCATTCAGACGGGTTTACTGAAGAGGAAGGAGCTGACGTTCGAATCGGCCTGCGTTTTTGCTAAGAGCGTTGAGCTAGCGGAGCGGGAGTCGAGGGGATTCCGACCAACTGCGAATACGGATGCCGACATTCACGCTCTAAAGAAGACGGGGAAGGAACCGGAGTTTGCCAGCAAGCCGAAGAACAGTTCAATGCGAAGCTGCTATCGATGCGGTCAAGAGCATGACGCCCGTTGCTGCCGTTATCGTAAATTCAAATGCCATCTTTGCAAGCGCGTGGGACATTTGGCGCGCATGTGCAGATGCAAGCAACCGGCGCCTGGCACCGTCCACAACGTGAGTGACGAAGCGAGCGGAGGCACAGAGCTGCTGCTGCACGGTGTGTATCTGGTGGGCACGGAACAACCATATGAAGTTGAAGTACAGATAGCCGGCCAGCTTGTGAAGATGCAAGTAGATACGGGCGCAGCCGTATCACTCGTCCCGGAATGCGTTTACCGGCAGCTAAAGCAGCCGCCGCAGCTTGCGAAGTGCGAGATGAAGCTCAAGACTTACGGCGGAGCGACGCTACAAGTGAAAGGCCAAGTGGAGGTCTTGGTCGATTATAAGGGACAGTGGAAAGTCCTGCCAATCATCGTGGTACCAGGAGAGAAGCCAGCACTCCTAGGCCGCGACTGGATTGCGAACCTCGGAATGGACCTAAACAGCATTCACGAGGTGCACGCACAACCGTCTGTCGATAGCATCCTGTCAAGGTATGCCAGCGTTTTTTCACCTGGTTTAGGGTTGATAAAGGGTTACCAAGCAAAACTGGTGCTTAAGGAAGGAAGCATGCCAGTCTTTTGCAAGGCGTGGTCTGTGCCGTATGCCATTCGTGAACCTGTCGAGCATGAGCTAGGCAATTTGCAAAAAGAGGGCGTACTGGTGCCCGTAACCCGCAGCGACTGGGCCACGCCGCTGGTAGCTGTTCACAAGCCAGACGGCACAGTAAAATTGTGTGGAGACTATAAATTGACGGTGAATCCATGAGTGAAGACCGACCATTACCCACTGCCCGCGGTGGAGGATTTGTTCACGACACTGGCTGGGGGCAAGGTTTTCACCGTTCTGGACCTTTCGACGGCATATCAGCAAATCGAGGTGCACCCTGACTCGCGACCCTTGCTGACTATAAACTCTCATATGGGGTTGTTCCAGTATGTTCGAATGCCGTACGGAATCTCAAGTGCACCTGCAGTTTTCCAGGCAATCATGAACGAGCTGTTGAAAGGACTACCGGGAGTGGTATGCTACCTCGACGACGTCCTCATCACGGGAGCATCGCATACCGAATGCCTGGCCCGGGTGGAAGCAGTCCTGCAGGTTTTCAGGGACCACGGCGTAAAAGTGAGAAAGGAAAAATGCAAGTTTTTTTTGAATTCTGTCAAATATCTTGGGCATATCATTGACGAAAATGGTGTGCACCCGTGCGTCGAGAAGGTTGAAGCCATAAGGGAAGCACCCACACCTAAGAACATCAGTGAGCTTAAAGCGTACCTCGGCATGATAACTTTTTACTCCAAGTTCATGCCAAACATGTCTTCGAGGCTAAAGCCTTTGTATGCACTGCTTCAGAAGGATAAGAAGTGGGTCTGGTCCGCAAAAGAAGAAAAAGCCTTCGCGGAGAGTAAGAGCCTCCTTACGCAAGCGAGCGTGCTAACATTCTATGACCCAAAGAAGCCTCTTGGATTAGTCTGCGACGCCTCACCTTATGGGGTTGGCGCAGTGTTGTTTCATGTCGTGAACGGGGAAGAAAGGCCGATAGCTTATGCGTCACGCACTTTGAGAAAGGCCGAAAGTGGCTACGCACACATAGAAAAGGAAGCGTTGGCTGTGATTTTCGGAATCGAACGGTTTCACAAGTATCTTTACGGCCGTCAATTCACTATTTATTCCGATCACCTTCCCCTGGAGGGACTGCTGGGGCAAACAAAGCCAATTCAGCAAATGGCAGCAGCACGCATGCAGCGCTGGATGCTAGTGCTAGCTGCATATCGCTACAAATGGGTGTACAGAAAGGGAGCCCAAGTAGCAAACGCGGACGCGTTATCGCGATTACCGCTTCCGAACGACACCGACGAAAGCGACTACGTTCACTTCTTTTCAGCAGTAGAAGCCGTACCACTATCTGCGAAAAGGATCAGTGACGAAACCCAAAAAGACCCAGTTTTGTCTAAGGTGCTAATGTATGTTGTGAATGGATGGCCATCGTACGTGTCAGAAGACAACGTAGCCCCATTCTTCTCGCGGAAAGACGAACTGTCGGTAGACTGTGGTTGCATAACATGGGGAACTCGGGTTGTTATACCTGAAGCGGTACAATCTGAAGTCTTATCGCTTTTGCATGAAGGGCATCCAGGCATCACTCGCATGAAAATGCTATCAAGAAGCCATGTGTGGTGGCCAAAGTTGTGCGACCGCATTGAAGAAACTGTAAGAGGTTATTCAACTTGCCAACTAACGCAGAACTCTGCGCCCCACGTGCCGATGTTATCGTGGGGATGGCCAACTCGCAGGTGGCAGAGAGTTCACCTGGATTTTGCCTACTACAAGAACGACTGGTTTTTAGTGCTTGTCGATGCGCACTCCAAGTGAGTGGATGTTCTGCACATGAAGTCCACTACAGCACAGGCGACAGTTGAAAAACTCCGCACTGTTTTTGCTGCATTTGGGCTTCCCGAGAGAATTGTGACTGACAATGGGCCGCAATTTGTGTCTGCTGAATTCACAAATTTTCTAAACTAGAATGCAGTGCAGCACACCAAGACACCACCTTACCACCCAGCTTCAAATGGCACGGCGGAGAGGCTTGTCCAGACCGTCAAGCGAAGCTTCATCAAACAGCTACGGGACGAGCAGAACACGGGAGCGACTCGGACGATGCAGCATCGGGTAGACCAGTTCCTGTTCACCTACCGAAACACACCGTGTTCGACGACCGGTAAGACGCCAGCCGAACTGTTTCTCTAATGGAGGCCACGCCCGAGGCTGAGCATCTTGCATCCGGAGCTAGCGAAACGTGCCCAAGCAAATATAGCTCGAAGACAGGGTCAGGAAACCCATACTCCGGGAGGGACTTCGAGGTTGGCGACAACGTTCGTGTGCGAGGAAACCGACCGAGTGATCCACGTTGGTTGGAAGGAACAGTTGTGCGACGAGTTAGCAAAGGAACATACATAGTCCGAATCGAAGACCACGAGCGCTTTCTGCATGCGGACGATATTGTTCCTAACACATGCCTTGCTCCTCTTCCCAGAAGCGTGTGGATTCCTGAGCAAACCCGCATGGCACAGCCGGGTCCCACTCCGTCACAAAGCGACAGCGACACCGCATCGCCGCCGGACGGGCCTGCACCAGAGCAACAACTTCCGCCACCTGACCGAGCCAGCGTGACGGAACTGCCATCACAGCAGGCGCCTGACGCCAGCTCCCAAGAAAACGTCGCGCCACCTGAATCGCGACGAAGTACAAGAATGCGAAAGCCTCCCGAACGTTTTGGCTATGCTGCTAAATAAAGGGGGAAGAGATGTAGTAGCCAACGTATGACGCGCCGTACTGACGTCACAGGCTACGTCATAGGCTACGTCATGTGCCTGTACTTATATTGGCATGCGAGCCGCTTGCTTAGCACATTAAACCTTCGCCACCAACTGAGTCCAGCGTCGCCTTGCTCGCCGGCTACAACACATAAGACAAGTTTTAGCAAGAATAAAGCAGCAATGGCCGTTCAGCGCAAGTGAGTGTTTGTGTCTTCTTTTGCATGCGTGAGTGTGATTTTAGGGCGCTGCTTCCTCAGTTCCATGGCTCACCAAGAAGACCATGAGAGAGAGAGAGAGAAGGCAGAGAGATTCACCAGAAGGACGGCCGATTTGCTATCCTGCACGGGGGAGTAAGAGATAAATGGGCGAAAAAGGAGATAGAAGAAATGAGAGGGTGAATTCGGTAGCCCATCCATATTTAAAGGGACACTAAAGTCAAATAACAATTTACGTCAGAGTGAAATCTCAATGTATGAGAAAATCTAAAACGACAATATTGTCCACAACAGTGCCCTACTTACCGAGAAATTAAGGTAAATGCACAAGATCACAAGCGCCGCAGTAGGACACTTTCAAAATGATCGCCGATGATATCAGACGGACCGCCTACAATTAATCCCTAGTAATCGATCTAACTGCACTAAATAAAGAACCTTCCGTGCGTCAAGAGACGCAATAAAATGCTTGTTCGTTTCTGTTTGACTCATGGAAAAAAGAACCGCCGGACATTAGTATGGGGAGTGGCACGAGTGCTTCAAAAATTCAATTTTCGCGTGGTTATACGGGACAGGTGGTGCCACCTAGAGGGGCGCGTTTGACACAAAAGCATCTGCAATCTCGAAGCCAATGGCGGCAAATTGATCAGGCCGTTGCTGTTGCAGTGGCTACCGCTGATTTCGGTCTGTTGCTTCTAGTGCAGTAAAGCCGAGTGACGTTGTGCACGGCAACAGTGACGTAAGTCGGTCCGGTCAGTCCGCTTCTTGAGGATGGTAATTTGAAGGGCGTTAACCCGATGCGGACCACTAAAACGTGATTTTAATTCAAAATAGGCCCTTCCTTGGCACAAAAGTAATACTACGATGTTTCTGGACCACCATTTCAACAATCAACGTCGACTTGATAGTTGACTTTAGTGTCCATTTAATGACGAAAGCACCATATACAATGGTTGCAGCATAATAAAGAGAAAGTTGTATTCAACTAAAACGTAAATTAGCAAGGAGCAGCATACCACTTTCTCAAGGAAAAATCCATGAGTAGAAAAAAAAAGAGAGAATCTTATTGTGGAACGAAACCAGTCACCGCTTTTCTTCATCTAGACCTTACTCATTCGTCACTCCACCAATATGGTGGAAGGCTAGCACATGAGTGGGTATGAGTTCTATTTTAATCGACGAAACAAAGCTCAAAAACTTACGCGAATGATTTATGCTGAAATTAGTTCTGAGTGGTTGACGTCAAGCAAGAAGTGTGACGTAGCGTGGCTATCCCGGAGAGGTTTGCACTTGACCGTGCAAAAGGAAAGGTGGTGTGAGTGCATGGTACAGAGATTTATACCATGCACTCGGGCTTGTGAAAGGGCTTCTTACGAGAAACCAAATTTGGACATGAACTAATCAGAAGTTTAGAGTACTATTCAATTTTATTAAATTACGTGAGTTTCTAATTATTGATTTAAATTGAAGCTGTGTATATCTCGATAACATGCAATCACGAAAACGTGCCAAAATAGTCTTGTGGTGGTCCTAGTATCTTAGTGAAGGAACATACCACAAAAAATAGTTCCTGAGAGATTACTAAATTGGAATAATATCAGTGCGTTCATATATTCTGTTTCAAGTACACCTGTAAACACGTTCGGAATCGCACGTCTTTGTGTGGTGGAACTAATTTAAAACCTCCGCTCTGTACAGTAGACAACAGCTTTTTTTTTTTAAGAAGAAAGTGTTAAAATACCAGCCTAACAGCTTTCTATTTTATGACTGATTCTCAGTCTCACACTGGCACTCTAAAAATACTAGCCTATCCGACAAAATTATTATGAAATGTTACAACACACGTGAAATGGTAATAGCAGTGCTGCACTTTCTTTCTGTGAAAAAAAAAAAGATTTGGGTTGAAACAAAGTCTCAAAACCCTAGGAATGTGCAGGTAGGGCTGCGACCTATTCGTGTGGAGTTCACTCGCCAAAGCCACCAAAGGCTCCATACCAGAAATCGACTTCTGTACTGCATAAAAGGCCCAGTTGCGCCATCTACAGAATTGAATCGCCACCTTATGTTCCGTATATAACTGCTCTCACCAAATAACTGTTCATGATGCCGGCATACTGCATACTTACGTCCCGACGACTTACCCGGAGCCACGGGACCATAAAGCAGCACGCGATTCAGAAGCACAAACCCATATTCTCATTCGTTATACGCTTTTTTTTCTTTTTTTTTAATACAGCAGTCTCCCGAACTCACCCGTAACGCGCCTTGGTCTGTTTCCGACATGCGCGATAGGTGGCAGAACGGGCTCCAGCTCAACAGACTTGCCCATCCTCCTACGCGCGAATTTCAAGATTTGGACGCAATTCCTCCACCCCAAAGTTCACACCCAAACATGATTTTTTTTTTGCACTTCGTGTGCGTGCGTGTGTAAATATCTGAAGCTTCTAAATGTATAGAGGAGGTATATTTGTAGGCGATTCGGTAATGATATATACGAAGCGTCTTTTTTTTTATTCCATTCAGATTGTAAGTACAATCACATAGAACTGTACTGTGACTATTGTTGAAGACCAAAGCATGCAAAAGGGTTCCACCTACTAAGCACTTGCAATATTGCTAAAGTACAAAAGGCCTGCAATACTTAGTAATTTCGTGCCTGTTGTCTAAGCAAAAGTGAAGATTACTACCTTCAAGAAAAGAGAGAACGCTGTTGTGGCTCAAACGAGCTAGAGGCATTTGTTTGTTTGCTTGTTTGTTTGTTTGTTTCTTTCTTTCTTTCTTTCTTTTTATGCGCACGCGTGCGTGTGTTTTCGTTTCAAAGAGGGGTTCTAATGAAAGACACCTCTGTTTTTGAATCTTTATACGTGTAAATCGCCCTTTACCTTTAGAGGGCAGCTTTCGATCACTACCGTACTTACGCAAAATGTGAAGCCCTTAAAGTATAACTCTTTTTAAAGGCACGTGGACGTATGCGGCTCATATTACTCCCCCTCGGTAACAGATAATGGTGATAGGTATCAACGAATTTGACGTCGAGGTACACTTTCGTCAAACTAAGGTCACATATCAAACCTTCGAAACACATTGCAAGACAAGTACCCCTACGGTGATATTGAGACCTGTGAGACCTGTGTTTAATTGTGTGTAGTGTACTTTCACCTCATATGGACAATAAACCTCACTTCATCGCCTCTTCCCACCACGCCTCATTATATCCCCACCAAGAATTTGTGGTTTAGCTTTTATATATGGCCTTACATTACCGCACAGCAAGGTTTACATTCTTGTTCTTCTTATGCTCTCTACTTTCTCTTTCTCTCGTTGACACACACACACGCACACACACACACACGCACGCACGCACGCACGCACGCACGCACGCACGCGCGCGCGCACACACACACACACACACACACACACACACACACACACACACACACACACACACACACACACACACACACCACACACACACACACACACACACACACACACACACACACACACACACACACACACACACACACACACACACACACACACACACACACACACACACACACACACACACACACACACACACACACACACACACACACACACACACACACACACACACACACACACACACACACACACACACACACACACACACACACACACACACCACACACACACACACACACACACACACACACACACACACACACACACACACACACACACACACACACACACACACACACACACACACACACACACACACACACACACACACACACACACACACACACACACACACAGTAGATTGTACCAGCGCGCGCGCGAATGGTACATACAGATTTATACCACAGGGTTCAGCCGGCACCAGTTATACCAAAATGGTTGATTGGGCGAGTTGGTGATACATGACTAATTATGAAATGGAAGCGCACAACGTAGAAGCAGACGGTCGTGTCTGGCCCCAATTTTGAGTGATTTGTTGTTGGCGAAAATGGACAGGGCCGTTAATCAAGAATTAGTGAGCACTGCAGCGAAGAAAGTGTTTCGATTTGTTGATGATTTTTTAGTCATAATGAAGTGTGATCCTCGAGGTTTTGTGTCTCATGCCAATAATGTGTTGTCTCTCTTTAAGAAATACCTTGGTCCACTTGTATTGACCCATGAAATGCCGGAAAACTCGTCAATCAGGTTTTTGGATCTCAGGCTTACGTTT